ATGAAGGTAAATCTCTTTAAGGGGGGAAGACTATAACAACCCTGACCCATGATTAACATTTAATCCATGATTAAGAATGCTTAATAAGTATCCAAGATGAAATCGTGTGATTAATTATGTGTTATGTGTGTGCTTTACATTGTATCTGTCCAAGGTAAAAATATCTATTTGTATTTTTTGTTTTGTTCTGTGAATTGAAGGCCTTAACGGCATCTGAATATGAAAATTGACTTGATTTATGTGTTGCATGGAATTTTTGGAATTTTATGGTAGGTTTAATTAAAATTCTATTTGGAACGATTAAATTAGAATAATTAATGCCCATTTGATTAACTTTAATTAAGCACTACTAGGTAAGCCTATATAAGTCCCCTTTGCTTCAACTCATTTCTTTTCTTCATTTTTGAGCCTACACACACAACAAACGTGAGAGAGAGAAAGAGAGACCAAGAGGGAGATCAAAGTCAAGAAGAAAAGAGAGAATTGCTAAGGGTGCTCAAGAATTGGAAGAAATTGATGATAGTTGCTGAGCCTAGATAGAATCTAAAGGAAATTGTGGACTTTAGGTAAGAAATCAACTCACACTCTATGAGTTTAAATTACCTTATGCATTATTTGAAGAGAATTGAGGCTAGATGGTAGAATTGAACATGATTCATGCATGCATGTGCATATCATGAAGTCTTGAAGTTGTTTTTGCAAGAATCTTCACATGCATGACCTTCCCTTGGCTATGGTTTCACAATTCAACATGGTTTTGTCATAAATATCTCAATAAATCATGGTTTGGTTGGTTGAAGAGCATATCATCGCATGCATGTTATAGTTTGGAAAACTTCAAGTTTGATTTTGAGCAATTAACATGCTTTGGGCCTGGAATTCATGAAACGATCTTTAATTCTCCATGATTTACAAGTTTACAAGGGTTTTCTTAAGTTTCAGGGCCTAAAGGTTGCATTGTCAAGCTTTGCATTCGAGTTTTGAACTTGGGAGTGCAATCTGGAAATTCCAGAATTCTACTCTCTGCTTGAACGACAGATCTTACGCTCGAGCGACCACTCTGTATTTTTCACTCACGCTCAAGCGACCGAAAGTTGGCTCGAGCATAAATTGCATGCTCCCGAAGTTTACAATTTTTGTAGACCACTCGAGCAACAACAGTTGCGCTCGAGCGAATACCCCAGTCACACGCTCAAGCGACCGTCGAGCGGTCGTCGAGCGGAGAATTCACACAACTAGTACTTTTGGTACATCCATTGCTACCTAGGGATAACAATACTTTTGTTACACACAACCAGTACTTTTGGTACATCCATAGCAGTTATATGTGGTACATATATAACTGGGGGTAACAAGACCATGGCTACCTAGGGGTAACAATACCATGGCTACTTGTGCACAAGATGTGGACCTATATGGTCGTCGGTACTGATTGTGCAAAATTGGTATGATATGGTAGCTAAATGGATGTACCATATATAGCTACTATGATTTCTGGTTAAGTATGTGAATCTGAATTTGTATCTGATTTGAAATCTACTATGGGACATCATTCTTTAAATTTTTTACTCTATTATTATTCACTGGGCTTCCGCTCACTGTATTATTTATGTATGTAGGTGATCAGGTGCATGGCCAGGCTCAGTGATGATCGCTTGGAACTCCATTTTTGTTGGCCGCCCTTTGTGCCTCCCGAGGAGGTTCCGGATTTAGTGAAGTCATATGGTTATGTTTTGTGAATGTTTAAGACTTGTTTTCTTTTTGTATATGTACAAGTTTTCTGTTTATCTGTACAATGGGCTAAGTCCCCTTTTGACTTTATTTTTGTAAATGGGTGACGTAAGACTATTGTAATTATGACGTCAAGTGTCTATATTTATATATATAAGTTTTTGAAAATTCTGTCCCATGTACGTTAGCGCAGCTCAATGGACTATGTATACTTGCTATATTACTTTCACAGCCCCTTACTATGTCATGATCTGTTCAAAGGCCTTTGATAATCCAAGGATTACTGGCCGATTACGACGCTAAACCTATAGGGGCGGGTTTGGGTCATGACAGAACTAGTTATATGCAAAAGGTACTTACTATGATGATAAATCAGGAACAGAGGAAACAAAATTTGATGCATATCGTTCCATGAAGCAAAAAAATAGACAATGGCAGTGCGTGCAAGTGGTTGCATCGGGATATAGTAGGAATCAAGTACTACTCCCACAGTAGGAATCAAGTATACCAGTTAAAGCTTGTTACAATGCTTCGCTGTGATTCTAGGTGACTCACTTTCTTGTTGTGTTGATTCTTATTATGGCTCACTACTACTCCAAGGACGTTATCATAATCAAATGTTCTAAATAACAAGCGCACTAAATTTATAAATATGATAGATTTATCTAGAGCAAAAGGTACTTACTATGATGGTAAATTAGAAGTAAAACCTCCCCGACTAATCTGTTGCAGCACCAAATCAATCTTGGCATTGACCTCCACGCTATTAGACTTCAAGTTGTGCACTCTTGCATTCAGTTCCTCATTGATTCTCCGTTGCTCTTCAAGCTCCCTTCTAGTTTCCTCATTTTCTATCTCAAGAGCAGCGCGAGTATGTCGACCAGATCCTATTATACTAGGCTTTGGACCACGTCCTAAACCACTTATGTAGCCAGACTTACGCCCAAACTCCTCAATGGAAAGTTGCTCGTCAGATAGTGGGCTAGATTGATCTTCTATAGCTTCATTCTCCTGCTCTTTTAAGTTTTTTCTACAATTGTTCATGAAATTAAACATAGTCATTTTATTTTGTCGATCAAACAAAAATGAGTGTGTTGCTCAAACTCTTTGCTATTTGTTTGGTTAAAACCAAAAGCAGCAAAAAAAAATTGTGGGGAGAAGGATTAGTAAATCTTTCCATCACATAGAATGACAGAACTCTTTTTAATCTGTCATGTACTCAACATGTTGCTCTAGTGGAATAGCTCTAAAATATGAAACAAACTGTTATAGTAATGAAGAAGTCTACACTACACTGCTAATGAACTCAAAACATGGAGGTTATCCCACAAATAGCAGAGTTGAATAGATAGTTTTTTTTTTTTTTCTTTCCCCCCTCCCCCCTTATTTTCTCAAGCATATCCGTTTTCTATTTTTTAAATTAGAAAACTAGTTAGAGCACCTTCCCAAAAGAAAGTCAGCTCAAACATTAATGCAACTCATGTTTGGTGAGGCACCAATAGGTTCACATTCAGGTAGTCGAAAACTTCACTGGAAAAACTCTTACTTTTTAGTTAGTTTATTTGTTCTTATTAATCTTATAGTGATATTGTATCCTCCAAACACTACAAATAATTAACACAAACAAATCAAGATTTCCAAATCCCACAAGATTTACTAACAAGTGATAATGATTCACAGAAGCAACACTATCTACTAAGAGAGCTAATTAAAATGTTTAAGTATGAAACAATAGTGAGGAGTGAACCCAAAAGCTGAATTCTCAAACCATTTCCTAAAAAGGAAGCTACTTGTCCATTATATATATAGCATTTTTTTTTTTTACTACTAACGTCGTAGGTAAAGTAGCATCGGTGAATGATTACTTTAGTTAATTATTCACCGACACGTTTTCAAATTACATTCCTCCAAAAAATTAATTTGAAATAGTAGCCTCTATTCCATATTTGGACGTTTAATTTCTAGAATTGTCGTACACTAAATGTTTATAAACATATACTTGTGCTGTGTCAAGTTGTCAACTACAACTCTAGATATTAACAGTCAAGTCTAATTATGTCATCAACCCAAAATCTCTAGGTAATTTTAATAATAATAATAATAACAATAAAATCAGCTAAATAATCTCCACACACAGCAAAGCACAACTTCCTGAAATCATATCACCTGGGAACTACTACTCGGTACTGGCTCAAAAGACTGACTCAGGACCCAAAAAAAAAAAAAAAACATATACTTAGGTAATTTTATTTTTATTTTGAAAAAGGAAGAAGAGGCGTACACGTGTGGGACGTGAGGGACCAAAAAACAACATATACTTAGGTAATTAAATTTGTGAGTAAACTCATAAGAATTCCCAAAAGTTAGATTTTTTTGTAATAACCCCATCGCATAATACTTTATATTTCATTAACGACGGAGATTTGAATTTTAATTGCCTACTATTCTGATTTAATTTGAGAATTATGAAAATTATAAATATTGATTTGTATACGATTCTATTGAAGATTTATTTGGAATTAGAAATTAAAAGCGTAATTGGCTTAAGAAAGAATAATTAGTGAGTTGAATTATTTTAATTTCAAGTATCGGACCATATGGAAGTTTAATTAGATATTCGATTTAGATTTGTAAAATTGAGATTTGATTAATTAGGTCCAAATTGAAGTTAATTAAGCTATGAGGAGTCAGAATTAAGATTATTGCGAATTCAATTTATTTATGAGGTATTCAATTTCAGTATGTAATTTATTGACGGAGACCTTGAGTTTAACCTAAAATTGAGAGCCTTACTGATGTAAGAAATTAGAATTGATGATGGAAATAAGCTTTATTTGATATTTAGAGCCTTTTGGGAGTTTGATTAAGAATTCTGATTCAGAATGATAATTTAAATATAATTAATTGGGCTCTAATGGAAGTCAAATTAGGTTAATTAAATTATGTGAGACTTATGATTAGTCATGATTTCTATAATTATGTGGTTGTTGTGGAATTGCATGTCTAAGGATGTGAATTATAAGGATTTGAAGTTGTATATGTCGGTTATAAGAAAATCTGTTGAAATTGTGACCTTTGGACTAAAAATTTAAAGCCTTAGAGGCGTGATAAACCGAGGCCGACCACATATTTATGATCGGCATGATTTTAGAGCCTAGTATGAAGTTTTGTAAAAATTTGATTCAGAATGAATTAAATTGATTTTATTAAATATTATATATAGACATATGTGTATAGGCTTTGCTAGCCTCAACAAAAAAATCAGAGAGAGAGAGAGAGTTTTGGAGACCTCAAGATAAAGAACCAAAAGAGAGGAAGAAAGGGAAGAAGAAAAGAAGAGGAAAAGAGGGGAAAAGGAAAATACTCCAAGAATTTCATCTAATCCAAGCTAGAAAGCAATCCAAGGTAAGATTTCATCCTTAATTCTTGTAATTAAAACTCCTAACATCTAAGAATGGAAAGAAATTAGAATCAAATTGGGTTAAAAATAAAGAACTTGGAAGGAAAAGAGAGAAATTAAACGTAGATTCCTTGCATTTGTTAGATTTGAGAGTTAATTCTCTTATATTTGCTTATTTTGAAGTTGGTTATGAGAAGTTGAGCCTTAATCTTGAGGTTTTGTATGGTCTGAACTCATAAAATTACATATGAAATGAAGATCTATATGAATTTAGAAGAAAAGTTAGGTTTTGTAACAAAAATAGAGTTTATCAATTTCTTATTAAAGATTCTTGATTCTTGAGTTAAACCATGTTTTGATGCCTTTGATTTGAAAAACAACCTTATTCCCATGTTTATCGATGAATTTATAAGGTTTATATTGAGTTTTACTAAGCCCTAGCTCAAGAACATACTGAAATGTCAGACCTTCTGCTGGAAGCTCAGAACCGCATGTGCGGTTTGGATTTCCCCACGTGCAGATTGCCCTATTTTAGCCAAGGCATATCTCCCTCATTTGGACACCGTTTTAAGTGATTCTTGAGCCTAAATTCAAGCCCCGGAAGTCTAGTTTCTAGTGGTGGTAGTATCACACCAAAATTCTAAGTAAACAAATAGATATGTTCAAATTAGTGAAGGTTGTTCGCTTTCTGTATACCCATTGTATGCTATTTCTTCTCCTAACTTAGTTTCCTTCCGTTTCTTCCTATTTTCCTTGATATGAATTATGACCCATTGAGGGCTAATGAGTTTATAACCAACATAAATAATTGGTTAAGGGGCAAAGTAAGGGATCGATTTATTTGATTAAGAAAGATTAAGAGGAGTAAATTTGATCAAGAGAGTAATTCTATGTTTTGATATGTTGTGTTATGTATTTGTGTTTGTAGGTCAAGATGAGGACATCGCCCAACTATTACCAGAAGCCCATCACTGTGAGTAATAGCATAGTAAAGATATGTTTTTCAATAAATATCTATTTTGATTTATGTACGACATGATTTTCTAAATATCGTATTTTATCAAAATGCACTAGTTTCCAAGAAATGTTAAATGAGTTATGAACAAGAAATGCGAATTGTTTGTAATATAATATGGTGGGCCCAAGGCCATTCCGTTTATCCGTTTCATTTATGCTATGACATGATATGAATTGTTCGGTGTTTAAGACCTATTGATTTCTAGTATGGAACAAAGTGTTGTACAGAACTAAGTGCTACAGTGGGAGTCACCTCTAGAGTCTGTACGAGTCACCTCTTGGGTCCATACATACCTGAATTGGACCCGAGGCCGTTTTGATATATGATTGGGCCTAAGGCCGTTCTGTTATTATGTTGGGCCCAAGGCCGTTTTGTTATACGTGGACCCGAGGTCATTCAGAAAAATGAGATATGAATACAAATGTTTTTACATCGCTATATGACTCATGTTATGAAATGTTATTTTATATGAATGAATGGACGTCCTATTTTGAAATGTGATTCTGACCCTTTGTATAAGTAGGCGTACCACGTACCACGTAAGATGTTTTGTAATGGTTTCAGATATGTATTCCATTTGAAAAAGCATGGATTTTGATACGATAATTGTTTGTTTTAATATGATTTAAGATACGTTTCAGACTTGTGAAAAATGTTTTCCTCATGCTAAGGACATCTTTCATTAACCTCTTTACTTTATTATTACTCACTGGGCATTAGCTCACCTTTTACTTTATATATATGTAGGTGAGTTATCGAAGGATCAACATTAGAGTTTGTACCAAAGTCCGCCTCTCTGTCAAGCCTCCTAGGAAGTGCCTCCGTGTAGAGGCGTGGTGTTATTTTGTCAAGCCTAATTTTGTTTGAAGTCTTTCATATAGTGTGTGAGATTTGTATAACTTCTGTTATTGTATAGGTAAATATGGAGTGTGTAGTTAAATAGTTTAATTATTTCAGGTCATCATGTATGCACAGCTCAATGGACATTTATTATTTTTGTTTTGCTTCCGCTTTAGGCCCCGATATAATTTGAATATTTTGAAATTTTGTCTCTGAGGCCTGAGTACAGGCTGGTCATGTTCTAAACGTTTAGGGGCGGGTTTGGGTCGTGACATTTTTATAAGTAAATTATCATAAGTTTAGATTTGTCTCTAAAAGATTATTTTTAGGGACCAAATCTAACTAGTCCCTAAATATTAGTCTCTAAAAGACTAATTTCTTGTAGTAGGCAACTTACTGTCATCAGTTGAATAGTAGGCAATTTACTGTCATTAAGATCTCAAGAGTTTGATATATACAGACACAAGTTCAATCCATCGACGAAGAAGACGATGATTTAATGAGAGAAAACAAAGATAAACCCAATTTGACAACATATGGAGAGTTTGATACATATGGCCCAGTGAGAGACAATTCATTCATCATTCTTATTCTTAGTGAGAGAGAATAGAGAAGAAGGCCATATATATATACACACACAAGTTCAATACATGTAATAATCAGAAATTGAAAATCAAAAAAAAAAAAATGATAGTGTAACACCTGAAAACTCATTGCAACAAAAAATTAACAGCATACGAAATATAGTATTGATCAAATTGTGCAAGAAAACAATTCTTGATCTCCAACATACATTAGATTAGATATACATATATATACACACACACACAAGTTCAATCTATGTAAAGAATTCTTCAATTCCGACACGCATTAAGATATATATATATACATACACACACACACACACACACAAATGTTCAATCTATGAAATAATAAGTTAAAAGTTCGAATTGGAGCTCTTACAAGCCGATTACGGAGATCGATTGCAATAAGAAATTGAATGTTCGAATTAGAGCTCTTACAGGTCAATTATGGAGATCGATTACGGAGAGAGAGAGAGAGAGAGAGAGAGAGACGAACCAAAATTTGAAGAAGATTGAGTTCTCAATCTGCCTTGGAGCTCCCGACTTTAGGGCTAAAGAATGAGTAAAGATTGACCTTGGAAGCCTTGTAGCAAAGAGAGAACGAGCAAGTTAGGGCTAGAGTGAAGTGAGGTCCATACTTTTTCATTGTTAAAATGATAAAAATATTTGGCTTCAAAATATTTTTAATTGATAATAATGATAATATTTGGTCTCCAAAGATGTTAACAATATATTAGCAACCAAATTTATTGGTCTAAAAAAATTTTGTAAATATTAAGTGAGAATATTAATAGTCATTTTTACAATCTTATAAGTAAATTATCATATGTTTAAATTTGTCTCTAAAAAATTATTTTTAGCGACCAAATTTAATTAGTCCCTAAATATTAGTCTCTAAAAGACTAATTTCTTGTAGTGTTTGTATCATTTTTTTATTTATAATATCTTTACTCTTTGAATTATTAATAATATTAGGTTCATAAAATTAAAATACATAAAAATATATATATATATATGCAGAGAGAGAGAGAGAGAGAGCATACCTGAGTTGCTGTCGTCGTCGAAGCACCGCCGCTAGCCCTTCGCCGTTCGTCGTCGCCGCACCACCGCACCACCGCTGGCCCTTCGCCGTTCGTCGCCGGTCGCCCGTCGCTGGTTTGGGGTTTTTTCTCCTATAATTATTTTGAGAAGTGGCTATTTTAGTAATTTTTTTATTTCTTGTTTTTGGGCTAAAATACGTGATAAAAAAATCAATATATTTGGAAAAATATTTTTTGGCTTTTTACTAAAAAAAAACATATAGGAAATAAGTGTTTGGATTTGCTAAAATAAAAACTCTCAACTTTACAAGTGAAGTTGGTGTATTATGACATCAATTTGTACTCATCTCAATAATTTGAACCTTATATGGTAAGTTGAGAAAAATATATGAGTAAAAAATTGGATTGATGAGAGATAACTAATCACATATTCAAATCACATATATCTTATAACAAAATGGATGGTATATTTTTAAAAATATGTATTGCTGTATAGATAAAAATGATCTAATGGTATGACAATCCATATCGAATCTTAAGTTTTCACGTTAATAATTTTATTAATTGATTGTATGAGATGAATAATTTAAATTATCGAAGTGAATCCAAATTAATCTCATAATGTGTCAATTTCACCGTAAAGTTGAGATTTTTAACTTTGACAAATCAGAACCAACAATTTATTCAATACAACAATTTATTCAACGCAGCCAAAAAAGCAACTTAATCGTCACCAGCAACTATATTAGCCTTGAGAGGCAACCAGGAGTTAGGTAGAGGGATCAACTCCCTCTGGGACCAACTCCCCTAGCTGATGCCATCACAAGTTTATGGTATAGTGGGAAATCCGAACCGCTCCTTGTGACCATTCGGATGGTCTCAGAAGTGGCAAGGTTCAAATACATTGAGGAACAAGTCCGCAAAAGCATAACCGGTCGAAACACTTTCATACCAAAAGGTTTGATAGTGAGCATGGAGAACGAATGGGGGTCTTTGTCCAAGCAGGTTCAGCTTTCAAAAGATGAAGAACACTTCACTAATAGCGTTCAGCTTAAAGATGACAATTACCAGATCCTCAGAATAAACAACTTTACTACACTCAGTCGCTATACCATGATAGCAATTCTTCTCGACGAAAGCGTCACGACTACTAGTAGTAGTTATGGCAATATTGCTCTAGCCGAGGACTACGACAACAACGAATTGTTCAAACCCTGAAACTGTTGTAACTGCCTAAACCCCACATCTCACCCTTAAACAAATTACGCTAGGTAACCTCCTTTCTTCTCAAACTGGTTTGAGAGCATAAAATAAACAGTTACCCTTCATCTTCCTCCAAAAATAAGTCTGCTTTGCATTTGAGTTTTGGACTCTTTTTTGTATTTCTTGATCAATGTGGGGGTTAATGTGATCGCGTGGCATATGGCTTTCTTCTTCTTCTTCTTTTTTTCTTTTCTTATGTTGCATCTATTTTAGTATATATTACAGGCCAGACACACTCGAAAAAAGTTATCAAAATAATATTGTGAGAAAGATATATGAAAACAAATTAGAACTAAAGAGTACGATTAACAATAATTTCAATCAAATTGAAAATATATACAAATATTTTAATAAACAGTACAATATTTACAAAATATATACACATTAAAAAAAGATACATGATGAATCAATAGAAAATCTAATTTTGCTAACATGAGACTGAGAATATAATTAGAAATCCTACAAGAAAATGTATAAGATACATACCAAATTAGTATTATTTAATTTATTCTACAAAGATTAAAATAAAAATTTACTTCATTCAAATGAGAAAAAACTTATAAAAAGACAACTTTAGTTTTTTGTTGATGTAATTGATTGGTTGTGTTATGTATGAAGACAATGAATGTTAACACTACAACAAATTGCATGTTTGGCAGTTAAATTTGGCGACTAAAAAAATTTAGTCACCAAAAGTTGTGAAATTGGTGACCAAAAATTATATTAGTCCTCAAAATTACAATATTTAGCTACGAAATTTTTTTAGTCGGGTTATATTGATTATTAGCGACTAAAAAATAATTAGTCACCAAAAATGCCACAATTGGCGACTAAAAAAAATTTTAGTCACTGTATAATTAATTTTGGCTGCTAAAATTATTTGGTCGCCAAATGAAAAACATAAATTTACTTTTTATCTTTGGGGACCAAAAGTTTGGTCGCCAAAAATTTATTTTTAGCGACTAAAAAAATTTTTGGTCGCTGTATGATTGGTTTTGGCTACTAAAAGTATTTAGTTGCCGAATGAAAAACAAAAATTTACTTTTTATTTTTGGCAATCAAAAGTTTGATAAGCATAAGCCTCAAGCTAATCATTCGTCTCCTCAGCTGCAACAGCCTAAGCCAAATACAGGACAGCAGCTGTATGAGCTACAGCTCAACTAAAGCTTGGAGGTTGTTAGTTTGGTAATTAGTTTGTTAGAACTAGAGTTGGATTGCAGTTATGGTTAGGTTAAGTGTTAGAGTTAAGAGATAGCTTATCTCTATAAATAGTGATTGTAAATCTATCTATAATGTGTTGAATAGAAAGATCAAATTCTCTTTATGGTATCAGAGCTCTAAGGTCTTGCGAGCAAAGATCCTTGGAAATACTTTTATGGCTATTCCAAACCCTATACCTTCAAGTTCTTCTTTACCTGCAAATCTGACACTATTGATTTCAAATCTGAATGCTTTTGCGCCTACCAAGCTTGATTCAACTAATTACATTATCTGGAAGAATCAGATCCATAACATCTTGAAAGCTATGAAGCTTCTTGGATTTGTTGATGGTACAACAGTATGTCCATCATCTGTTATGCTTGATTCTAACAATCAAGAAGTTCTGAATCTAGATTACACTAGTGGATCACCATTGATTCACATATACTGAATTGCATCACTGCTACATTCTCTTCATCTATCTACAAATCTGTCATTCATTGTCAGACTAGCACTGAGGTCTGGTCTATTCTTTCCAAAAGGTTTACATCTCTTTCTAGAGCTCACATTCATCAGTTGAAAAATAAGCTGAGTCGTATTGTTAAAAAAGGCTCAACAATGGAAGATTACTTGAGTCAATTTCAATCTATTTCGGATCACTTGCTCTGGCTTCAGCACCAATTGAAGATGAAGATCTGGTTCTCTTAGTTCTTAATGGTTCACCAGATGAATACAATGCTTTCAAGACCACCATTAGAGCTTAGTCTAATCCTATTTCCATGGAAGATTTGTCTTCCTTGCTGTGTTCAGAGTCCACTCATGTTGAGTCTTCACTTAAACAATCTCATACCTCGCGACATTCCATTTGCCTATTCTGCAACTAGAGAAAACTATAAAGGAGGTAACAGAGGAGGTCACAGAGGTTCTTTTAGAGGTAGAGGTTCACATTTTTCTAGAGGTTCAAATTTTTCCAAAGGTTCAGAGAGTGGTGGTATGTTTCTCGGTAGTTCACAGCATGGTAGTTCTCTTAGAGGCAGTGGTCAATATCACAGGAGTAGGTCCAATTTGATTCCTAATACCTTGGTTTGTCAGATCTGTGGAAAGCTAAATCACACTGCCCTAG